TGTGGCACTTTGATCTTCTCTTCACTGCAAAAGAATCTTACGAATTTTCCCTAAAAATTCTTCTCGAAAGAATTTTCGGACAAAATCTTGTCGTTATCTCCCGCTGACTCTCTACATGGATCATTCCTCGTTTCAGTCGGTATTCTTAAATATTTTGTACCTGTCTCGACGATCGACTCTCGCCGGTGGGAAAGACTGGAAATACTGGAATAATTCTGGGTGTCTCTCGCTGACGCATCAGCACCGGCTCCGAATTTAGAAAGCACGAAAATACAGGCTGCGACATGTGCCTGATATCAATGAAGAATGTTCCTCCTGCGACTACCTTTCTGCTTGAATTTGTCTCTCGGTAAATCTCCTCAAAGTTTCCTGCTTTCCACATCGAGAAAACGTCGAGGCGGATCATCGCGTTTGCCGGACTTAATTATTAAATAATTAAAAGACAAATATTGAAATGCCAGGAAAAAAATCAGCAGATCCTCGCTCGAACTCGCCCCGATTCCATCGCGTTGGTTTAATTCGCGAAGCATGAGCTTCATTTTTAACCACTTGCAGCTGGAAGCGTATCGTACACTCCGATATTATAATCAGGGAAAAATCGTGTCTCGAAAGTTTTCCCCTTTTTCTTTCCGAGGGATCCTCCGGTGAAATTGAGGTCGACAAGGAAATTGAAGTCCTGGAGCGTGTTCCTGGCGCGCGATCTTTTATTACGTCTGTTTATTCCAACGTGTGTTTATACGCGCGATATCCGCGATCGACGATTGTCAAGCGTATCGCGATAAAGCGGAAAATTGCTCTCGCGCTAATGTAGTCCACGTTCATCCTCTTCCTTTATCCACGATCGAATTTCGCGAGTTTCCTTTTGCAGAATAGGCCGGATAGTCTGCGCCAGCGAGCTATCCATTTAGCTAGGCTATTGAACGCTCCAAGAGTCGGGCTTCGTCCCTAATGAAACTTTTTATCAGAGATTATTAAAGGCATGCACTTCCGATATTTGATGTCTGCCGATATTGTGGCGGGACAAGCAGAGGCGAAGTGGATGCGATCGCAGCACCCAGAGATCCCCTCGAGCCTCCGGATGCGGCGAGGGAAAATTCTTTTCGACAAGTGGCGGCAATTTTCAGCAATTTTTGACCAATAGCCCTCGATCACGCGATAATAGCAAAATAGATATAGTATTATTACTCGAGAGACACTCTCATACTTATTGGGTAATATTGCGTTTTATTATGTAATGAGTTCGCGAATAGAAAGTGCAGTATGCAGATTGGCTGCTTATCCGGTGTCTGGATATATTCCGCAGCGCGTAAATTTTTCTCGCGTTTCAGAAAAGCGTGCAATCCGTGCGGCATACAACCCGCAATGTAATTTCCTCTCACGCATACGGGTCGTGCGTATTTTTCAAAAAATATACACGGCGAGAATTTTTCTCAAAAGGCATCAGCATGGTAATTTGTGAAGAAGTATCGTGCTGGTTTGTTCAGCACGTTCGTTTGAAAATGAACAGGAAACTTTCTTGCTGCGTATGAAAAGTTTTCACATTACAGCAGACTGAAAAGATGTCTGAACAAAAAATGATATTACTTTATCGCTGCATAACGTATAAACTTATTCTTTTGTTTGACGCGCTCAGCATCGCGTCACGCTTCATATCCTTTTGGACACGCATAAATTTCAGCCGCGTGATACGGCATATCATGGAGAAGAAATTCTCTCTGTCGCGCATTCGAGGTGCCCTCTCCGCATTTTCCCTGAATTTATATAAACGAATCAGGGGAAACACGCGAGTATATAGTTTATATTTAAAAACGTAATCCCTAGAGTCAGAAAGTTCTCTGTCGCGCGCGTCAGCTGTCCGCTCCGACGGATTATGAAAATCCGTAATAACGGGGAACGCTCTGGTACTTCGACGAGGTAGACGAGCGAGCGACGACGAGCCGCGGGAATTTTAATGTGGACTAATTAACACGCGCTTCCGTTAATGATCGCGAGTGGCGAGGTGGCACTGTCGGAAGCGTATCTGGCGTGGAAAGATTCAGGTTTCGAGATTTTGCGGACGTAGAAGTGAGGAAGCGCAGGCAGATAGACAGACTGGCAGACCGAGGGAAAAAAGAGAGAAGAGGAGAGAGAGAGAGAGAGAGAGAGAGAGAGAGAGAGAGAGAGAGAGAGAGAGAGAGAGAGAGAGAGAGAGAAAAAGAGATCAACGATGACAACGCGTTGCAGCTGCACATCGCATGTGCATCGCGAGTAACTGTACTCGTCCGTCATGTACCAGCGGGTGCATACGGGCGATTGACACACGAGCCTCGTGTGCCCGAAAGAAGATCGCATGTCTCTCTCTCTCTCTCTCTCTCTCTCTCTCTCTCTCTCTCGCGGGATCGCGTCACAGCGTGAACTTACACGTATAACTTCATAATTCAGGAGGCGACTTTTACGAGCACCGTTAAACGCGCTCTGCGCTCGCTCGTCGCCGTCGACGCGTCCGCGGGTTCGTCCCTCGTCGGTCTGGGACGCGAATGTGGGTTAGTATTATACAAAAACAGCGCGAAAAATGAAGTTGACGCGAGGCGGGGACCTACTTCGACTTATTTGGCCGGATGCGACCGGCGACAGCAATTGCCGGCGGCCGATGGTCACGCGATCCGCGGAAGCTCGCAAGTGTTTCGTCGCGAAACTTATAGAATCCATTTAATTGTGCATATTTAATTATATGCTGCGGAGAGCACCCCCCCCCCGCCCTCGAAGCGCCACACGGAAAGTAAGTTAAATTATACTTGTAAATATATGCGTGTAGCGTGGACGCGAGACGTGTACTTTGCAACGGGATTACTCCGGAAACGGCGAGTTGTTCGCCGTAGGAGCGCCAAGTAGACGCAACGAACGGTCTACTTAATCGCACTAATTAATAACGAAAACGAGCGTACGTAAGCACCCGCTGCGCTTGTGACGCTCAGGGAGTTTCCTCACAAACGAATCGGACGTTATTTGCCGTGAACAGGCTGCTCTTTCGTCGGACAGTTGAACGTAAAAAGAGAAAAACGTTGAAGTATTTACGCCGATAGAGAAAGAGAGAGAGAGAGAGAGGGGCAGGAAATTGCGGAAAATCGGGTCGTGTGGGCAGCGCGCGACTTGGCGGCGACAAGCTTCTCCTCGACCTTTAATCATCTAATTAAAAGCTAACTCGGTGAGTCCATTAATCGTTCTCTGATGCGCGGATCGGAATTGCGAAAGCACGATCGACACGGTGAGTCTTTTGAAAGTTACACGAGGAGGAGATGATAATAACCGGGAACGTCGATTCTGAAATCGAAATAGCCCCGAAGATCGTTAGATTGGTCGGTTTAATTGGCCGGATTACACTCTTATCGTCCTAGCAGGACTAGCAGTCCTAGTCGTTTCTAATCAATAATGCCGAAGTTTTCCGTGTTTATCCGCTCGCTTAATAACCGCGACAGACTTGCACTTTCCCCTCACCTCGGAGATTATCTCCTGACGATCGGCGGACTTGCAAAATTATAACACTCGTCACGTGTCCCGTTAAATAATATTCAATTATATCGGCATTGAGCTTCCTACGTCCGATCAGCGATGAAAATCGCAAACAACAATAATCCAACATATAAATGACGTGACTTTATTTTTGTGACATACACACTCACACGACACACACGGCACTTTCTACGGGGAGAGAACGTACGTGCGTCGCTCGCGCATGTACGGCGAGCCAATCGAAGACGCGATACATTTTCCAAAGAGCGCGCGAGCTGGCCGCTAGTCGCGATCGCGGAAAAAGAGAGAAGCGAAAGAACCCGTAGAAAGTTAAAGCGCGGAGATTCACGAGGGGGGATTCACGCGTGCTGATATCTGCAAGAATTTTCTCGTGGAATAATCGAGGAGTCGGGCCGCGAAGGATCTCGGCGGCAAAGTAAACAGGCGACCCCGGGGTTCACGGAACACACGGTCGGCAGCGACGGACCGGGGAAACGGGCCCGACCTAGTGTTCTCAACCTGGAGAATGTGTGTGACCGTCGATATTCCGTCGGGCCCCGCTGTGCGACGTGACGCCGCTCGGCGCGGCCTGCCGCACGGCGTTTATAGACCCACATAATCGAGAAACCAGCAACCGCATTCCTCATACACGTACTAATGAGCCCTCAGCGAACCGAGGGAGTCTCTATCTCTCTTTCTCTCTCTCCCCTTTGCACACACACACACGCACAGTATCTTCCAATTTTCTCTAATGCCGTCCGCGTCCGGCTGCCTTCCCGGTCGCATGCGTGACCTCCGTAATGTATCTGGCCACCGAACGGAAAGGAAGAGGATGCACTTGTCGAAGATATAAATATACCCCACGAAGAAGGATCCCGATGAGACCTGAAACACACCTAAGCGGAAAGAAACTCTCATTCGCTATCCTTGCGATAGTCCTCGGGATAGCGAGCGCTCGCGATGTCTCGTGTAATTTTCTGTCAGCCAAGTGCACGCGAAATTATGCAGATAAGAACGATGAGCAAGACTTGATGGTTGTATTCTTTGTTATATGCTGAAGTCGCGCGATCGTTGCTCGTAAAGTGAACACAGCGATAATATCTTAAGCATGCTAATTGCATTGTAAAAAGGATAATTCGCTACGAATAGTCGGTTGCTTCACTGATTCGAATAACAACTCGCGCTATCCGGCAAGATCGCGCGAGAGTGCCTCGCAAAATGCCGTAGGAGCGAACGGGACGGCGCGGCGACTCGCCGCGCGATTCGAATTCTCGTCGCGAGATCGGTGATCCACAGCCTCGAGCGGTGGCCCCAAATGTTTGACACACATTTGCTCGGTATCGGTATCTAGCTGCGCGCTAGCTGCGCGCCTCCTCGATGCATCGTGAACGCACCGTGTCGTTTGTCACTCGTATAATCGCTCGGCCGTAATCGCTCTACTCTCTTCGGCACGCCCGACAAATATTCGAGAGTACTGCGAAATCAAGTGTGGAACGTTGACGTTTTTGCAGTGGAATGCGTCGAGTCCGAGACTGGATGCAGGCGATGCAGAGACGGGACGTGCGCGAGATGCGCGGTGCTGCTGCATCAGGGCACCTGCGTGCATACCTGCCCACCGGGCTTCGTCGCCGACTGGTCGACCCGGGATGAGTACATGGGCCGCATCTGCCGAGAGACCGGCTACATGTTCGGTCTCACCGGTAGCCAGGTCGCGATCCTAGTGGGGGTGGTCTCCGGCGCCACGATCTGCATCTTCATCATCGTGTGCGGCGCGATAGTCGTGCATCGGAGGAAGAAAAGGGCGGCCAAGCTGGTGCAGCAATACGAGGATAGGTTCGTTCAACCCGCGCTGATTGTGTGTTTACCTGGTATCTTCTATGAATTCGTTAACAACACTCTGTCTATACGCTTTCAGCGCGGAGAGGAGGGAATTCCTGAAGCACCTAGCGACCCTCAGAGGAGAGGCTAACACCTTCCTCGCGATGCTCAACGATACCAGGCGACAAGTTAGAGAATTGTATTACTCAGGTAGTAACGGGGACGGCGCCGTCGGCATCCAAGCGTACAGGTATGTGAGTGCAACAACGTGCAAGTTAGCTCGTTCGCTGTTAGTCCGATAAGAAAGTTATGCCTGTTTACAATTATTCTCGATGTGACTTGTTCATATTTGCCGTACATATTTTGCGAATGTCGTTGCAGGCCAGTGCTACGCGACCTGGCGAGGATATTGGTCCTGGTGAACAGAAGAGACGACGAGATACCGCTTCCACCCGACGACTGGCAACGATTGTTCTCATGGGCAGAGCGGCTGCTGAGGAGATACAAAAGGCACAGTTCTCCCGAAGTAAGATCCTTCATTCCTCGCGGAGTATCTCCGCGTTGTGTATGAAAAGAACGACGCTTTTTATCTCACACTTTCGATTCTTTTTCACGCTAGTCCTTAAAGCACTTCGGTGAGTCACACATAAACCAGTTGTATGCAAAACCGTGTAGCGCGTCAGACCCCGCGCATACGAGCGGTTCTACCGTCTGATATTTCACCGGAGCCGAGTCTAATTCATGCATCTACTTTGTAAAGGTAGAAAAAAAGAAAAAAAAACAATCACGCGGGTAAAAGAAAACGTCCGCCGCATGCACGGAGTCTTAGACCGTAGTCTCCCCCCGTCTTGGAAGCTCCTTCTCCTTGTCTCGACAATAATATTTATTCGACCGAATGATTTGTGTATATATGTACACGTCGTCTCGACGAATATTTAGACGTTGGCGCTCATTATGCTGTTCCAATTTCAAGGTGGCTCAGCTCGTGACGTTTCTGCAGCAGCCGACGAGCCCCGTCCAAATGATGCAACCACCGCAGCAGCCCGCGGTCGCGACGTCGCAAACACCCCAGCCGTACGAACCGAGGACCACCCCCACTAATCTCACGACATTCCAAGCGAACGTGCCGCTCGCCACGTTTCAGGCGAGTGATAAGTCGAGTATCAGCCCGGCGAGCTCGAGCCTCGGCTACGCGAAGGACAGTCCTATCAGCTCGAGCTTAGGTCAGAACAGTTCAGTGCTGTACAACCACGAGAAGCTTAGTCCAAACGGCTCCGAGAGAATCGGCCAGACGACGCCCTTGGTCTACGCCGGGAGCCAGAAGCGGGCGCCGAAGAGCCCCAGCAATTCGCGTCTCCAAGAGTTGACGATTACTGCGTTCAGTCACAACTACAACATCGGTGGCGCACAACTGCCGGAATCCGCCGGAACCACCAATCGCGGTAGCAGCGGTTTGCACGAAGAGTGCAACGACGGTCTGGATCGCGACCTGAACCCCCAGTGGGAGTTCCAGAGCACGATGGAAGCGGCCAATTACACCATCCTTTCGGACTGGTCACCCGCACGTGATTACCTCATCGACGACTTCACGATCCTCGGCTTCCGGCCGCAGGATGAGATCACCACGGAACTGTAACGGAACTGTCCCGCGCACAACGACTGATTACGAACATATCCAAATGTAAGACTCGTCGAGAGCGAGAGAGGGAGAGAATTATGAATGCTCATGTGTCCCAAAGTACCGCCGTTTAAGACAATCGGTCTCTCGTACCTCTTGCAATTCTCAACAATCTTCTTCCATAATCTCGCGATAATCGCTAAGGAAAAAATACTCATATGCAAATCTGTCGTTTGTTAAAACTATAGGCTAGCTCGAGCTCTCTATCGATTCTTCTTTTCTCGTTTTTTTCTTTTTTTGATAATTTTTATGCGAGACATCGAATATGAACGATGTACTGTATTTCGATAGAATCTCATGAAATTCTTACGGAAATGTCCTCTCCGCCCCGAGAGCACTCCAGACCTCTAGCCTGCTAGCGTCGTTTCACGAATGACACCTTCGGTTTGAACGTATTCGAGAGTACATTGCGTAATAGATACAAAAGGAAAATATCACGATGATACCAAATAATTGTAAGAACTTTGTATAAATATTGGTTTTTATTTAACTCCTACATTGTATATCGTTAATGACATTTACTGCGTGTATTATAGTGTACTAGTCAACGTTTCCGTTTGTTCACATCCAAATGTCAAAGCGCATCAATGCGATTTCCGTATTCGCTTTTTTCGCATGTAACTTATTCAAATTCAATTTACTTTTCAAACGAATTCACTATCGTCACCGGAAAATCGTGTTATTCTGCGGTGCGTCACGAGCTGTAACACTCAATAGACTCACTCACCGCGTTTTAAAACTCACATTCCATTCGCGATGCCGTGGCAACGTGAATTTAACAGCAAAATGCAAAAAAGAAAAAAATTGCGGATTTTATTTTATTTATACAAATGCATATACCAACACATTCGAATTGGACGTGTCATTATACATACGTGTGATCAAGGCGGTCACTTGTACAAATTGATGTAAATACTAATTAATATTTTAGTAATAAATGTAAGAAGATATCGAATATAATATATGTACCTGTAAATGATATCTTCTCTCAATTTCGATACCCTCTGCATGTTTGAAGAATTTGCATAACTTGTTGCTAAGTTATTGGCTGATATCACAAATCCCAAACCAATATATCCCAAATCACACCACATACTTATCGAAACTGAAAACAGTAAAATTAAAATGAGATGTAATATATATATATTAAATATTTCTGGAATCATGAGTTTTTTGTGACAAGTTTGAAATTTAATTTCTTTTACAAAAAACTTGAGACAAACTTAACAATGGCAATCCTGTCTTTCAAATATTTATCATTTAACACCTCAAATGTAGTTTGTAAGAAGAGATTTTTGATCAGATGTATTTTGCAAAGTATATTTTATTATCCAACGCAAATTTAAACAATTTTTCGTACAATTAGCTCCTCTATTGTGAAAAGTAACTATTGTATTCTGATTATATATATATATATATATATATATATATATGTATAACTTTTCAATATAGTTATACTCACGTATATAATCTATACACTCGATTTCTATTCTCTGTCAACAACATACATTCATTCAAAAGAAATGTAGAAACTGCGAAAGAGCGCAGTCAAGAGAAAAGTGATCAATGAACAGTGTACTAACGCGCTTTCATAATCGCGTAGTTTTCCCGCCACCGGAAGCGTGCGAAACACGCGCGCGACTATCGGCTGCGCGCGCAGCCTCGTTGCAACGATAACGGCCAGCCGGTTACATTTCACGGCCAAATACGAATGATCCGAGCATAATTTCGCCACGAGACGCCTGCGACCGGTGATTTTATGCCATCGTCGAGTCGCTCGTCGAGTGAAAGCCACCCGACGTCCCAATCACTCCGGATGCGCTCGGTCCGGTGATGCCCCCCGCGCGCGTAAGTTCCTGCGGGGTGGGCGAGGGACGCCATGACAGTCGTCGTATTTTCTGTGAAACCGCGAGCACGTATCGCGCCTCGCCGGCGACGTTACCGTGAAATTATCGCGCGGCTTGACGTCGGACACGGCCAAAAAGCGGCGCACCGTGTCCCGGCCGGGTCGGGTCGGCCGTCGCGGTACTCGAGAAGACGCTGGACGAGGCAGCGTGGCCATTATCGGCGATTTGCTTGTGGGCGGCCGTGGCGAGGTGAGACGTCGAGAGAGGCGGCGGTGAGCGCGAGCGACGGTGCGAGAGAGGCAGGCCTGCCGTCTGCCGCCCTCCCCTCTACGCCCCTGATCCCCCCTCCCCCTCGCGCGCGCCGTGCGAGACGGGACGAGCGTCTCCCCGTCCCGCTGTGTGTGGCGCAAAGGCGAGGAGGAGGCGGCCACGGAGCCGACGAGGAACGACGATGCGAGAACCGCCAACGGCACCGTGCACCACGTGAGTCTCAATCGTATTCCCGCTTCGCTATTTCCTTCGCGTTCCTGACGGTGCGGAATCAGGCGGTCGCGCTGCGCCGCGACGCGCCGCTCCGCGCCACACCGCGCGTCCATATCCCCCTCGCCCCGAGTCCGCAAGGCACGTCCATCTTGTTGGCCCCTTGTCCCCGTTGCTCACACGAACGAAAGAGCAAGCGAGCGAGCGAATAAACGAACGAACCAACTAGTCGAACAGACAGCCAGCTTGCCTACCTGCCTGCCTGCCTGCCTACCTGCCTACCTGCCTGTCTATCTGTTGCCAGCCAGCCAGCTAGCTAGTTAACCAGCCAGCGAGCTAGCTAATCAGCTCAGTTAGCCAATCAAGCAGTCAGCTAGTCAGCAAACGGTCACAATGACGCGTCATATGTCGCACACGACGGCGGAATATGGTACCCAGCAATGGGTTCCCGCCGACGGTATCTGGCGGTTGTTGCTGATGCTGCTGCTGCTGTTGCTATCGTTGCTCGCCCGCGCCGCTGCTACGCGACCGATCGTTTCTTTCTCGCTGGCCGTCATGACTCGCTGACGGTCGCGCCTTTGTCGCGCTGTATCGTTCGCCGTATCGTAGCCGTATATCGGATGACTCACTCTTCTCTTCTGTTCGCGCGAGTGAGCGAGCGAGTGAGCGAACGAACGAACAAGCGGGCGGGCGGGCGGGCGGAAGAACGAATGAGATGCCCGTTAAGGAAAGAGTACCGCGAGGTTAAAATATCTGTTTTCAGCGCGTTGTGTCGAGAACAGCTTTTTCCGTCTCTCTTCGGTTGTTCGTTCATCCGTTCGCCCACCCACTCGACCAAATGTGTTTACGCGGATTTACTGATAGCGATTACGCACGGCGTTTCCATCGCCGTGACTCGGTGGCGCGGTCGGCTCGTCGAGGTTAAACGAACGGTCGCGCCAGTCGGTCGCTCCTCAATGGCGCAACAGCCGCCGCCGCCACCGTGCGAACGTGTCGTCGTTGTGCGCCACGACGGCGTAAGGTTACGTCGGGCGGAATTGCGAGCCGCGGAACCGCGCTTTTTCAGATGTTCACGTGGACATCAGTGCTGCGGGCATCGACATGGGCACCTACGGAATGCCTCCTGATAACAATATGGTGCGCACTTCGGTATGCCGCGAATCGATATTGTTGAACAGAAATTGTCGCGACGGCTCGGCTACCGCGGTTATTTAATTAGCGTGCGCGCTAATTTCGTACGACCGATGATTACGTGAATGACTAGAAGCTCGCTCGAGCTCGTTGTCGCGATTTGTCTGACCCGATACGATGACGTTCGACGAGAATCTCGAACTGTTTTTATGATCGTAGAAATCGTCAATATTTATTACATCCGTCGGCCCCAACGCTCGTTGGAATTCTCGTTAGCATACCATATGCACAGGATAAAACCATGTATGAATTAAAATTTATGAAATTGCGCGAGAAGTGAGGTAGCGATAACAAAAGCTAATGCTAAACTTCTTGAAAGGGGTTATGCCATCTAGTGCTAGCCCCAGTGGAATATTGCTTTTGGGTCACAAAAGTAGCATTAAGAACACCCATATGATACGATGTAGCAACAAACAAATACTAATGTTACTTTAATGTTTCTTGCAGGATGAACAATGAAGTATATGAGAAACATTTAATTAATATCCTTCAGTGAACAAAGATGAATAGTGAGCAGCATGCATTGCCAGCGACTACGCAGGCACAACAAGAGGTAAGGTACCTTCCAGTCGCAAACAGGCTACAAAACCAAACTACAAATGCGCAAATGACCACCGCACAGATGCGCTGTGCTAATGTTAGATATATTGAGACATTTGTATAATGGGCTTTCTTAACAACTTTGATTATTTTATCTTTTAGTTTATAATGACACTTGTGTTCTACGCTGGATTAGATTTACGATTTTACATATGTATGCGTGTACATTTCTGAGATACATTAGTTCTGAGAAACTTTAGTAATATTTATCCGATAACATTTGGTCAGACTGCAACATGTCATGGATAAGTTTCTCTTGTATTAAATTTTACACGCTCTCCCTGTTATTTATGATTATGATTATGTAATATAATTTCGTTATATTATTATACTGTTTTCCTCTGTATTATAATTTAGTTAGTCCTTTCGACCAATGCAACTTGTAGCTCTTAGTTTAGAAATGCTTGCGGTATATTACACGTAAGACAGCTTACGCTTGAATTTCTGTGTTCTTGTGACTCTCTAACACCGCTTTCTTTACATAATATTCGTACTCATTGAATTCTCTAACAGACACTTTAGCATACACTTTGGCGAGCTTAAGAGCAGAGAGACTCATACACACACACACATACAGTCAGTTTGTATAGTTCGACAGTTTGTATAGAGCCTTTTTTCCGATATATCGCTCACTGTATATAACACAGAACACTAAATATCGTAGCACGTGCTCGCTATCTCTCTTTCTCGATATACTTAAATACACAGCCTTCTTCGTATAACGCCCTAGAGAAGATACCGTACCCGAAAGTGGCGCATTTGTCGATTGGATTTCGGCCTGGTGCATGCCGCTGCATGCTCTATCAATGTTGTACAAATGTCTGAATGTATATCGGTAGGATGTAAACGCGGGTCAAAGTGGTCGTCCTTCATACCCAGGTGGTTTGGCTACCGCGACCAGCCTTGGCAATGTAGGGAGTACCCCTCATTCGTCCGCGGACCTGCGTGTAGGTACAGCCGTAGCGTTAGCCTCCTCGGTAGCTAAGTATTGGGTCCTCACCAATCTGTTTCCCGGACCGCTACCTCAGGTCTCGGTCTACCACCATTCCCACCACAACTCCTCGCATAGGAGTGGTGGAGGTGGAGAGGCATCCTCCAAAGAGCCAGCCTCTTCACTGAACCAGGAAATGGCGTTGACTTCCAGCTCGCATCATCAGTCGACAGCACCGCATCATCATCATCAACCTTCGGTTAGCAGCAGCAGCCATCACAGTTCCCTGTCCTCGAATCCGCAGGTTTGTCAATGTAGAGGCACGTTTTGTCGATGTTACGTAAACATACTCGAGTTAGACACGATTCGTTGCCGATCACTATTTTGTGATCCAAAGTTGGTATACGCACACGCTGTCGCAGGACGTATCTTGCGGTAACATGCAATACTTTCCTACGATTAGTGTATCTGATGAGACCAAGCGACAGCTGTGTGACCGACCAATGTGCGAAATACCACTCGAATTTCGCCGTTTTTAATTTGAACTTGCGCTTTTGTCGTGACTTCGTATAGAGTATTTTTACTTTGCGACTCTACCGTACACAGTTTGCCAGTTCGTGTACAAGAGGTGCTTTAATTATCGCTCTGTTATCTTGTACTTTGCGTCTGCAGATTAGATTTTTCGTTAATATTACATACATTCTCACGGGTAGAGTAGAGAGGAAACGAATGCTCAGGAGACTTTACTTTCTTAGATATCAAGTCGGCCGATTGTGATATTTCACCTATAAGCTACCAATTCTTTACTCGTGATCGATCATCGCTGAGAATGGCGCAGCAAAAAGTGATAACTGACCGTACGTGTGTATTTTATTCGACAGATACCGGTATCTCTACCTGGCCTGAACTTAGACGGCGCACATATCCCAGCGAGCGTTAGTCACCTGCAGGCCGCGCATGCACAAATGCAACAGCAAATGCAGGCGCAACAGCAGCAGCTGCACCAGCAGCAGCAACAGCAGCAGCAGCCGCCGCCACCGCCGCCGCAGCAGCAGCAGCAGCAGCAGCAGCAGTCTTCCCATCATCAGATGCAGAATCACCAAAATGCCCAGAACAATGGACCGACCGCACACAGTCAGAGCGCGCAGCGAGACGACAACAAGGTCAAGGACGAGGGCGGCAGTTGTACCACCGAACGCTGCAGCGACAATCAGGTTCACTGTCAAGTTCAATGCGATCTGCAATTACAACCACCGCAAGATCTTCAACAGAGCTTGATGCAACAGCAGCAGCAGCAGCAACAACAGCAGCAGCAACAGCAGCAGCAGCAGCAGCAGCAAATCGGGGTGAACATCAGCGGCAATTCCACTACCGAGGGCGGCAGCCAAAACAATTCTGAGAAGCCCGAGAAGGAGAAGGAATTGCGGCAACTTAATATGACACAGTAGGTGTCTCGAGAAGCACTTAGTTTCCATTGTTAAGCCGACAATGTTAACGTCCTTGAGTCTACGTGAGACTCCGTGATTTCGATTACATGGCGAATTCTAATGTACAAAGGGCGTGTACTTACACCACTAAAATAGTTCTCTGTGTTTCTACAGGTATGAAATATTTACTAAACCTCAATGTATATTCATTGGTCTGGTATTAATCGCATGGAATAATACCGCGTCACCTTCTCGCTTCGCAATTATTATGAGCCGCACAAATTTAACAAATCTAAAAGTTGTCGCCGTGAACGTGAACAATGTGGGCTTTCCCGAGAAGGGAGAATATCGGGTAACAAAGAAAATTACATTGGAACTTGGTGCGCCGATACTCTTTCTCTCAGTCATTTATCTCGGTCAGAAATCGTAACACTACCTGCAAACAAGAGAAATGACAAAGAAACGAGCGCACGGCATGAGGTACTAATGCAATTCTATGTTTCTGGTCTAGGTTTCAAGTTCCTGACTTGAAGCCAGGTGGACACATGATGGACGTGAGAACGGCGGATGGCTCGGTCGTGAAGATTAGCGCTGGAAATGAGCAAGACCTGGCGAAAACACTTGGCGTCGAGATGGTGCAGAATATGTACAAGGTACGAAATCTCGCCACCGCCACAACGGTCAGTTGCAAGTTCGAGCGGTGAATACACAGCCCATTTAACGCGCTTCGCTTCCTCGTCGCAGGTGAACGTCGAGGATATTAACCAGCTGTTGGCGTATCACGAGGTCTTCGGCAAGTTGCAGAGCGAAATTGCCGCTGGAACGACACTAGTAGGTAGCACCGTGCCTACACAAACAGTTACCACAATACAGAATGGCACGCCGATCGTGCAACAAGTCCAACTGAACAAGTTCGACATTAAGTCGAGCGACGGCGAAGCGACGCCCGGCCCGAGCGCCTCGCCCGTGTCAGTCGGCAGCCACTCTTGCGAAATATGCGGCAAGATCTTCCAATTTCGTTATCAATTGATCGTACACCGTAGATACCACACAGAGAGAAAACCGTTCACGTGTCAGGTACGTAATGCGCTCTGAGCCGCTTGTCGTTCGTCGTGCGCGTCGACTTGTCCAGAATGCACCCATCGAACGACCAATAATAAATTTCTTCCAGGTGTGCGGCAAGGCGTTCTCGAATGCGAACGACCTAACGCGTCACGGCAAGTGCCACTTGGGTGGATCCATGTTCACTTGCACAGTTTGCTTTCATGTTTTCGCGAACGCGGCCTCGCTCGAGCGTCACATGAAGAGACACGCCACTGACAAGCCGTACAATTGCACGGTTTGCGGCAAGAGCTTCGCACGCAAGGAACATTTGGATAACCACACCAGATGCCACACTGGCGAGACGCCATATCGGTAAGTCTACTCGTGCATAGTTCACGTAAGTGGAATGGAACCAAGGTGGTCGGTAGATGAGCGAGATGAGAGGGACTTCACCAGTAATATGAAAGATTGTTGTTGCGCATTAATATTATTAAACAGTGACATTGAATGGAAGCCGAATTGGCTTCGCACTTGTTAGAAATTACCGTGTTGTTTTGTTCTTGTCTTTCTGTCGAGTAACGCGAGGATAAATCGAGACATGCGACACGATTATGTTGCAGATGCCAATTTTGCTCGAAGACATTTACCCGAAAAGAACACATGGTAAATCACGTTCGCAAACACACTGGTGAGACTCCACATCGATGTGATATTTGCAAGAAGAGCTTTACTCGCAAAGAACACTTTATGAACCATGTTATGTGGCATACAGGAGAAACGCCTCACCATTGTACAGCCTGTGGCAAGAAGTATACGCGCAAAGAGCACCTTGCTAACCACATGCGCTCGCACACAAACGACACGCCGTTCCGTTGTGAAATATGCGGTAAGTCCTACACGACATCTGAGCTCCGCTTCTTACATATACCTGCGTCGAAACGCGCGATTGAAGTGACGAGTCGTTACTTTGAGATTAATTCGGATGAAAGATTAAGAGTTAGCACAATTTTATCGATGTAAAATTCAAACAATTCGAAACGAACTACGACATTCAATGGGACGATTCCAGAAGTATTTCCAATTGAAGCGCAATTGTATCTTCTTTTTTTCGGCACATTTTCCATATGATTGGTATTTCAATACTCGCTTCGTGAAAGTAACACGTTCGTAGTCAGCGTCATTTTAGTATTTACGCTACTGAATTATATGACCGTGCGACCTGTGTGTTCTGCGATAAAGTTTGCGACAAAGAACACTATAACCGAACTGGCCCTCGCCAGTGATATGTTTGCTGACACGGCAATTATGACGACAATTTGTCATAAATTGTGATCGACGACGGTTTAATTTGTGAAGTTCTCACGAGGTAAGTAAGATCTTTTCTAATTGCATACCACCACACACAAAGGACAAACGAAGGGTTTCATCATTCGCTCAACAAATTTCATTTTCTGTTTCTCTCAATAGGACACTCCTCTTTAATTTATGTTCGCGATGACGTCAGGATCAATACAGTGTGTACATATTCCAGAGAACGCATTGTAAGCTTCGGAGCACTCTGTGCTTTTTTGTCCCCTGTACATATACGTTTCCGCAAATTCACCTGGAACCGACTCTCAATCGTTATTGATGCGCCCCATGATATCCTGTATCACGAACTAGACTAAAACTCCGCAAGACCAGAACGGGAGGCTCAACGAATAGCATATCCGTCATCCACCCCTATCTGCAATCTCTCCACCTCAAAAAGACCAAGACAGTCACTCGCGATCGCGTGGTGCACGCGTGCATTCGTCGCTACTACCGACGATCGATGGGATTTGACAAACCTCTCCTTCTCCCTCCCCCTCTTCACCCCCTCCTCTGTTTCTCTCTCTCTCTCCCCTTCCCTCTCTCCCTCTCTCTCTCTCTCTCTCCCTCTCTCTCTCTCTCTCTCTCTCTCTCCTCTCTCTCTCTCTCTCTCTCTCTCTCTCTCTCTCTCTCTCTCTCCCCCTCCCTCTCTCTCTCTCTCTCTCTCTCTCTCTCTCTCTCCCTCTCTCTCTCTCTCCCCCCTCTCTCTCTCTCTCTCTCTCTCTCTCTCTCTCCCCCTCTCGAGTCACACGCGCGTCACAAGCTATAAACGCGACGCGAAGTTACGTCGAATGTACTGTGATGAGCGGCTGTCGTGGCTGCAGCAGCAGCGGCAGTTGCCGCCACCTCCGCTACCACCTCCGCCACCACCACCACCATCGTCACCGCCATACCACCCCACCATCACTACCTCTCTACTATACCACCACCATCATCGCTTCCACCACCTCTACCATCCACCACCGCCATCACCACCACCACTACCACCACCACCACCACCACCATCGCCGCCGCGTACCCGGCGCGGCGACGGTGAAATAAAATTCGCGAGAATTGATCGCGCATCGCGAGTAGCCCGCCCGTCCCTCTCCTCTCTCGCGGCGCGGGTCGTGCGCATTCCTTCGCGGAGGAAGAGGCGCCCCTCTAACCTTAGAATCGTGTCGGTGCGCTCACCCTCCCGCCCGTCTCTACCCGCTCGCGCGGACGGGACCCCTTTTCCTTCTCTTCAGTCCTCGGGAATCGCGCGAGCCTCCGGCCGGCCGGCTCCATACCACAAGGGGCCCTTTATTTCGCACCCAACGTCTGGCCGTGAACTGTGATGGCATGACTTGCTATTTCGTAAATTTGAGCGGTTTGTATCGAAACTCTCCGCTGGCCCTCCTTCGCTCGCTCGCTCGTTCGCTCTATCGCACTCCTTTCGTCATTTTCACTCTCCCTTCTCACCAATCGCGGCCAGTCTGCTCTTCGTGTATTTCTCGCTTTTGCATGCGCCAATTGAACGGCCCCGGACAATTAATTGCGCGACAGCCTGTTTCGCGGCTTTCCGCCCGACCGCTGTGCGCGTCGGAATGCATCGTCCTTGCCGCGGCGCCTTCGACTCTTTGTGCTGTCTGTGTCGAGTCGGAGTGAACTCGATCCTGCCGCGTCGCTCGAGACGGAATTTCGTTGCTCTTGTTTGGATGCGTAATTGCAACGACGCTCGAGAGCCGGATCCTCTACGGGTTTCTGCGTTTGTCGCAACCGCGATGCTCGTCGAGAGCTGCCGTTGAGCTCTGCCGGCGAACTCCGTCGCCGCGTTTCCGTTCGCCCTTCGCACGGTTGTTGCAACAAATCGGACACCTTGCCACAAAGTGCCGTCGCATTCGCGCGTACCGACGCCCTGCATGTCGAGGAAGCGATCGAGCGACACGACAGTGACACCCGTATGCTGATCCTCCCACGATCGCCGTGCGGACGAGGCGAAATTCACAAAGTGGGAAATTCGAAATTTGTATTTTCGTTCAACAGAGTTGCAAGCATGCGCGCCGGTATATACATGTCACGTGATACTTGTATACATACAGATGCACGTTGACCGCGTCCGATGTCACTTTTCGAGGAGGGAATTCGCTCTCCGCCGCGATTTCGTGCAACAAAGTACGCACACACACACACACGCGCGCGCGCGCGCGCGCGCTTTTTCGCGAGAAAGATGATTTCATGATTCGTGTAACTTTTTTGCGAAGACTTACACGATGTAAAGGGCGAAGCATTCCTCTGCTGCTTGCGCAGCAAGCTCGTCGTTATCTATCGGCGCAAAGTACAAACGATTAAACCGTGCATTTTTCCTTCATTTGCATTTACCGTCGCACTGCGATTATCACAGATCAATAGTCCATTTTGGAATCGTCCCACGCGCGTGTTCGCTAGAAAAAAAGAAAAATAGGATAAAGAAAAGCGAAGTTGTACATGTAGCGCGACCAACCCCCCCCCCCCCCCCGCCAGATCCGCGTCTCACATCTCGCAATATAATTGAAATGCGTTTGTTTTTGGTTTTTTCTGTTCGTACGCTGCCGTCCCATGCAGGTAAGTCGTTTACGAGGAAGGAGCACTTCACGAACCACATAATGTGGCACACGGGCGAGACGCCGCACCGCTGCGACTTCTGCTCGAAGACGTTCACGCGAAAGGAGCATCTCCTCAACCACGTTCGCCAGCACACGGGTGAGTCTCCACACCGATGCGGCTTCTGCTCCAAATCGTTCACCAGAAAGGAACACCTTGTTAACCACATCCGCCAACACACAGGTGAGAGCGGTTGGCAGATGTTCACTTCACGGGCAACCGATAATCGTTTATCTATTTTGTCTCTATTAAGAGTAGTTGTATTTTCGTGGTCTATTTATATGTATATACATATATACGTGTATAGAAAGGCAAAGAGAGTGAGGGAGCAACAAAGGAAAGAAGAGAGGAGAAAGAGGGAAAGAGGGACGGATTTCAGTCTCTCTTATAGAATTAAGAGATCGATTAGCAATTGCGAGAGTCATTCTGTACGTAGTGTCACTTAGAGTATCTTAGGTAGTTGGATCAAACGCGAGTCAAAGCACACATTCCGCATCACGGAAGCATCACGCTTCCGGTTTTGTCACATCTCGTTCTCTAGTTTCCGTGTCCGGAGGTACCTCGTCTCCCCGTCGAATTTGCTCTTTAAGCGGCAGAATCTTTGACGAATTCGGACATCATCCTTTCTTTGCGAGACACAGAATGTCGAAGCGGTTCGCCACTTCTACGTCACGCTCTTCTCCCGTTTTCAATTTTCAATCTCTCTTGAACCGACGATTAAGTGGAAACGTTGAAGGGACTCGGCTCGGTCGCAATTGAATGTAGAGTGTCGCGAGAACTCTGCCATTTTCTCAAGAACTACATTGAGGTAACTACATCTCTCTGTATTTCTGTCTCATCGCTTTTCGTCCCCTCTTGTCTCTCTAATTCGCCTAAGGATTCTGCCGTTGATGAATTCGTCCAGAGGGGAGACGTCGTGTTTATGTGTATTATCGTATTTAGTTGACAATCAGACATTTGCATGGGAATTAATCGTATTGTTTTAGAGGGTGAATCGCCGTGAATTTTCACCGTGACACTCATATACAGTCGTTCGTCGTACGTACGTCTCTTTAACGTTGACCATCACATCACGTTTAACTCGATCTGATCATCATGGGATCCCCCACATCATCATAGAATCCCCCCTTGCCCACCCTTTTACAAACATTTGCTGTTCTGCCTAATACACCGCTCTCATGCGTGCCTCTTACTAACAGTTATTTCAGCGTGCTCGTATTTATTTATTTATTTTTTTTTTTTTTGTTCAATATGTTCGCGACTACTTCGCATTCCCCTTCGCATTTGTAAAAATCTTGTCAGTCGAGTTTTGTGTTTCACAATAGAGACTTGTAAATAATTCCTTTGCTCGTCAATCAGCTTCACCTCGTTGTCGTTGCTCGACACGAGTTTCGAGATCCATTTAATTTCAACGTTATATAGAGTGTTATTTAGTTGATAGTAAACGTGAATTTCGAGAAGAGATCAAGATACATGTATTTATTTATACAATGAGATCGCGGAATAGAAAGTTTCATGCTTAAAGTAATAGTAGCATCTTTCAATATCGGATTTATGAAATTAGAGGATGTGTACCGAGAGAGTGTCAAAGTACTATAATTATAGTACTTTGGTGTAGACAGATTGCAATCTGTCGCTGTACAAGCTGATTTTTCTTTGATGCTGCATAAGAATAGGGCGATATCGAATACATTCAATGATACAGTTTTTTTAACACATCCTTTAGTATTTCTCCTGATAATAAAAATTTTTCATAATATCAGACAATCTTCCCTCTCCAATTTCCTCGATATGATATTATTGGCATTAATGTATATGCCTGATTTGAAAGTGTTTAATAATAATAATAATTTAAATCTCATTTAAATCTCACAAAGAAAGAAAAACCATACATACAAGTCACGCAACTACATACAACTTCTTTTTTTATCTTAAAATTACTAAAATTTCTTTTATGCTTCAGTTTTCGATATAAAGTTATTTCTTATATATATTAAATTACGATATATATTTTGTGCATATAAATATACAAAGTAACATTTTTATCTTTCGACGATCAACGATCTAATTTCCTAATCTCGTGAATGACGATAAAATTAAATCAACTACATCACAACGAATGTGCAATGCACAAATGTATTCGATATCGTGCCCTTTTCGTGCGTTGCGTCGAGCAAACTCGTCTTGTGCAGGATAACACCACGTTCCGAATAACGTTGTAGAAGGTTCTCTCTTAAAAGTTGCGAACTCGTAAAATGTTGAACAGGGGAGACGCCCTTCCGCTGTCAATACTGTCCGAAAGCATTTACGCGGAAGGATCACCTGGTGAACCACGTCAGGCAGCACACGGGTGAGTCACCGCACAAGTGCCAGTATTGCACCAAATCCTTCACGCGGAAGGAACATTTGACCAATCACGTGCGTCAACATACAGGCGAATCGCCACACCGATGCCACTTCTGCTCCAAGTCATTTACTCGTAAGGAGCATTTGACGAATCATGTGCGCATCCACACTGGCGAATCTCCACACAGGTGTGAGTTTTGCCAGAGGACGTTCACCAGGAAAGAACACCTCAATAATCATCTCCGTCAGCACACCGGAGATTCCTCACACTGTTGCAACGTGTGCTCCAAGCCGTTCACAAGAAAGGTACGTTGACTTCATTGACTTTGTTATCATTGATAGATAAAATTTGCGTTTGCATCTTCGATAAAAAAAGCTTTATCATAATTATTTTTTTAAACTTGTCATAACTTATCTTAACTTCATTTGTTATCGGTCTTTTGCAATTACAATGCTCATAATAATGTAATCAGTACTTATTGATTTCGTATTGGTCATTGTAAAATGCTACGTTGCGTCATTTTTCACTGTAAAATCAATCTTTGCTGAAAGTAAATGTACGATGCTCTTAACTGAAGGATCAAGTCTGTTAGCTTCATCTACTCGTTTGTCTCTCAATCGGCAGTATTCTTCACGTGCTTGCAAATTTTCTGTTACAGGAGCATCTCGTGAATCACATGCGTTGCCATACTGGTGAACGTCCGTTTGTGTGCACAGAATGTGGCAAAAGTTTCCCGTTGAAGGGTAATCTCCTATTTCATATGCGCTCGCACAATAAGGGCAACAACGCCGAGAGGCCGTTCCGCTGCGACCTGTGCGCCAAAGATTTCATGTGCAAAGGACACTTGGTCTCGCACAGACGCTCGCACTCGGACGAGCGACCGCACAGTTGCCCGGATTGCGGCAAGACCTTCGTCGAGAAGGGCAATATGCTGAGACACTTGCGCAAGCACGCGGCCGAAGGGCCGCCGACGCAGGTCAGCACCCCGTCGGCCATACCGCAGTCTGGCGTTCTGCCGATACCGGCAGCGGCGGTACTTGTGGGACACCCGTTAGCACCGCCGGCGCCACCGGTAGTGCCGCAGCACACGGTAGTCGTGCCCACTCCGCCGGGCGTACTGACGTCGTACTAAGAAAAGAAAAGAAAATAAACGAAACGGAAACAGGACAAAAAAACCAAATTCAGAGGAAAAGAATACGAAGAGAAAAAGATGGATGAGATTGGTGATGGGAGAGGAGAAGAGGAAGCAGAAAGAGGAGAAGGAGGAGGAGGAGAGCATGCATTTGAAGCTGAATACTTGTGCGTGATATATATATATACACATATATGTGCGCGTAATACTTAAGATACGACTGTGTCGAAGAGAATCGTAAAGGAGTAATTGTGCGCCGTTCATCGTTTCCTCGCAAAGACTATTGGATCACAATGGATTATTACGTCGTCGTCGAGGATCATCGGTGTTTTGCGTGGATGCATCTGCACTCGCGATCGCAGCGACAGCAACAGGAGTCTCTCTCTCACAGTAGAACTACACCACATACACGTACACACACACGTACACATCATTCTCGTTTGCTAAAAAGACTTGGAACGACACGGTGTACAATGGCTGTACGCGCGCAATTCGAACATCGATTGTTTCTCGCGACAAGCATGGTGTATTTTCCAAAGTTTGGTTTTGCTTATTTATGCTTGTACTTGATAAGTATGTCGACTGTGGTAACGATCTTGTAATGCGTATAATACGTTCCAAATCTGTGCAAGAGGATTGTAATGTCCCAGAGACAACTTTATAACTATATGCGACAGGCAGAGCGCGATAATTTTACGTATTTTTAAGTAACCTTTCGTCGCGTAATTTTAACAAAGAGGCACTAATTACAATGTTCACGACGAATTTGCATTGAATTATAATTAATATTTTGATTTCGCACGAGTACGATTGAGAAATGCTGTCCGGCAACATTTGCTGAAATCGGCGTCACGGGCGATTTTTCAAATACAAATCAAAGTATAGTGACGACGTGGGAATATAGTGGCGATTAACAGTCGTGACCAGCGTTACTTGACGTTAGTTACTGACCTCAGCATAATTTTGCTGCAATGCGTTACAGGAAACGTATCAATTACGCTATTATTTTTTTTTTTGTAGGAATTCGGTGGCGGTTTCATTTCAGATTCGGAGTGGTATTTTGAATTTTGCAGTTGGGATGGGCTCAATGTTTATAGGTGTACTTTCGTACAAGAGTATAATTTAATCGATGGTACACTGAAATTAAGACGATTCTTTACTTAAAGTAAGATAAAATTTCCTAACGAGACTATGAGAACGCTAATAAAAAAATATATTGGAATATAATATTAATATCAATCAATATACAGGATAACCCGAAATTCCCGCATACGGAGTATAGGACATGACATTTTATGCTAAAACAAACAACTTTTTCCTTTAGCAAGATTGCGTCCGACAAGTAGTTTTTGCAGAAGAGCGTGTTAAAGTTAACGAATAAGCGCTCTTGTCTATGTAGCGCTCAGGGCCGGCGCGCGCGCCTCACTCGCGTGTATCTAATCAGTGACTAGTATTCATAAGTAATCTTTTAAGACGCTCATACGGCTCTGTTGTGATTAGTTTACGACATCTTAAAACTGTCCTTAAGACAATCTTAAATAATAAGAATCAACTATAAACAATATCGGGATCTCACAACTCGCAAAGCATATTATTATTTACATTTGTTTTTATTTTCAGATGATATTCTGCAATCAGACAATTTTTTATTTATTTATTACGTAAGAAATAAAAGCAGTAGTTATTTTATTAACTTTTCATTATTTAAGCGATACAATACGGAAGAAAGTCAAATTCCGATATTGTTCCTAGTTGATTCTTATTATTTAAGATTGTCTTAAGGACAGTTTTAAGATGTAAACTAATCGCAATAGAGCCATATGAGCGTTTTAACATTACTTATAAATACTAGTCACTGACTAGGTATACGCGAGTGAGGCGCGCGCGCCGGTCCTGAACGCTACATGGACAAGAACGTTTATTCATTAACTTTAACACGTTCTCCTGCAAAAAATTACTTGAACGCAATTTTGCTTAAGGAAAAAGTTGTTTATTTTAGCATAAAGTATCATGTCCTGTACTCCGAATGCGGGAATTTTGGATCACCCTGTATAGTAACATTGATTCATATAATCATAATTAAATAATAATAAGAAATATTGAATATTTATTTATACAAGTTTTGTTTGTTTCTATATAAAATTTATTAGTTTGTAAACTTTTTATTTATTTATGATATATTTAGGAAGGATAACATATCTTATCCTGCTGATATAAGAAAAGATAAGATTATCTTTTTTTTCTATTTTTCTATTTTTTTCAGTTAGGGTTACGACATTTGTAATGATCGTTAATTTATTTTGGACCCAATAAATAAATAAAAATTGCTATTAGATTATTACCAATATATATGAAAAAAATTATTCTTTTATTTTTCTCAAAAGCCGAATCTCACGAAAAATTGATTTCTCGTGTTAACGCTTTATCTTTATATGGAAAGTCAAGTACTTATTTAATTGTACCATCGATTTCATTAGACTCTGTATTATAAGTATAATAATCACGAGAAAAATTATGAATGTTCATATAAGTTTGGCAAGCACATTGCTTTTTTCAATAATTACATACTTATACATACTAGTCCTAACGATTTCATTATGATTAAAATATTTTCCCGGAATTGCCGCAATATAAGTTGTCGATATGTACGAGTAACCGAATGGTCTAACTCGTTAGTGTGCGCCTTTGCATAGCTAGAAATCCTTAGATTTTTCTCGGGCGGGAATTTGTGTTGTAGATATTTTTATGCTTTCACTTAGTTATTAGCGAATATAATCTTATTAGCTGTTACGGTGGAGTGCAATATGGCTCAGCCGCCTGAAAGACAGAGACAGACATCTGCAAATAACGGATTACCACTGATACCGGACCTTAAATGTACCACGAGCTGCATGTTTGCAAATTTTAATCCTTGCGCTACCAACAATGTCTGTAGTTGTCGTTTCCTTTAAGTACTAAGAACGACTATAATCGATCGATAAGAAACGACCGTATAGATTTCTTACGAACAGAGCTGTAGAATGGTATAACTTAATATATGTTTAAAGCTATTGTATCGGTCTGTGTGTGGTCGTTTTTATCGGCCAGAGTCATAGCGAAAGGATTAAAAGCGATAGTGGTTCGTGTGGATTAAAGTCCCTAATTGACATGTAATGTAAGAATAATGGATTCACATGTTTTTATGTTCTCTTGCTCTAAATTCGCAATGGTTCACGATTCCGATTTGATATCATTCGCCACTGAGGGGAGAGGTAGAAACACTACAACACTAAGCGATCGTCGTATAAGGCCATGTATTTCATATTTACCGTTAAGATAAAAGTAAAGAGAAATGGTAAGAGGAGGAAGCGACAGTGCGACGTGGCTGCGGTCGCATCGCGAGTGGTCGTCGATGAGTTTCTTCGTAGGAATTTGCAACTGCGACAGAGAGCGACTTTCAGGAAATGAGGATGAGATCGTAAGCCCGATCGTCACGCTGTTGCAGCTGTTTGCGCTAAATATAATTATGTATAATACTAATAGTACATAAATATATATCACAAATAGGCATTACACATAAAGAGGAGATTTATTAAAACGCGTATTCGCATACGCTCATATGTAACGGGAGAGATATTCGAGATGTGGCGCAATCTCGAATATATATAAATATATATATATAAATACATATATATATATATATATTACTATATAAGTATATTCGAGCGGATAGAGATATATATCATACTTACTATTTAAAGTAATGAAACCGGGGCAAAATTTGAGTGTATTGCAGGGTCAACCTCATAAACAGCATCGATCATAAGAAAAGATACGTAGATCTTTGTTATATCCTCAGGAGGACAAAACAAAAAAAAAACAAGTGAGAAAGAGCGAGAGAGTTGACGATAAAAGATGGAGAAGGGAATGATCCATCGTGAAATCTCTCGTACACTTATACGGGATAGACAAATATATATGTATAATATATATATTGCTCATGCTTATATACATTATGTATATATACTGTGTAACATACACAGGTGAGCTAATCACCACCAGGGGGGCAAACACGACCACAAACCCATTTTTCCTCGGAGGGAGGGGAAATGTACTTCCAACGAGAGAGATATGTAAAGAGTGAAAGGGGGAGGAAGGTAGAGAACGGGAGGGATAAAAAAAAATATGACTTGTCTGCTATATTGACCTCGGCATCATCCTTATGAGAAACAACATTATATAACATATAACAGGAATAAAGATAGAAATAATGTTTATATGAATTACTATTAATTATTATTAATGATAATACTATAATACGTTACAAGAATAAAAACTAAGAGTTGGTTCGTGCTTTTAAGAGGTTTAGTTTCGTGCTTGTTTAAAAAGATGAGAGAAGAACGTCAGCAAGCGCCAGGTCCAGACGTTTCCGTCTCTGAGTCGAGGTGTGCATCGGCATTATTTCGACGAAACGGTGTCGTTACATTACGCATCGTCGTGTTTTACGTAAAATACACACATCTCTTTGCTCTCGTCGAACGAGATATGATATTCACCGCACATGTGGATCGATCGATCGATGAGGACACTTTGGTTCGGAGCAGAAACGCGATGGAAATGAGACAGAGAGAGGGAGAGGGGGAGGGAGGGAGGGAGGGAGAGGGAGAGAGAGAGAGAGAGAGAGAGAGAGAGAGAGAGAGAGAGAAAGCGACAGCGAGCGAGAAATATGAGTAAATATGATTTACTTTAGATAGAACAAAATATGTATAGAATTTTATTATGCACCATTGTAATATTATGTATCCCAGTTGTGACACAATATACACTGGTGTTATGTTAAATGTGGAAATTACGCGTACTATCTTTTTGTTTGTTGTGTACGTCCCCCAGTGCTGTCATTCGTCGTGTCGTAACAATAACAACAATATTGTTTCGTAAAGATTCACACACGATTACTGGGTGATAGTTTTGTATGTCGATATGTCGCGCGCGCGCCGTACACATTTACAAAATTACTTTATATTATACACAAACGAGGAGATGACATTTGTATTTGTGAAAAAGAACGACATTTCTATCTTAAGAATAAAATTCACTCCAAGCTTACGTATATCACAGACCGTTCCTGCAAAACGAGCGGTCATTTTTCTTAAACATATAACACTGTAGATACGTGGAGCCCTGCGGGGCTGTGTAAGTGACAGGATAATTGTAGATCAGGCTACGTTCCTCCTCTTGCGGCGTGCTGAATCTATGCGAATTTCTGCGAGCTGCGGAGGAAGAGAGAAATTGATTTTACTCTACACGCATTAGATGAAGATCGTACGTGCATTCACACAGTGAATTGTACGACGTATGTTGCTTCGGCAGTCGTTCAATCGACAAGAGTCGAATATCTACGAGATGTCACTCACCCTCATTGATGAAGAAATCGGCGAAATATTGAGCTACTCGAGTAGCATTGATTCCATGGGGAATATTCTTGCCGGTCTTCCACTCGTAGATGTTCTTCTCTGGATGAAACTGCATACCGTAGAACGGATAGTTCTTATGCTCTAACGTAGAGATGAATTCCTGGCCTAGTTTATCATGATTGAGTGACATCACGCGAAATTCATTGATTAAGTTGACACGGCGCAGACTCTGAAATACGTAACGACAAAGTCGACGCCGCGATAATATTAATTATTCGTACGACTAATGAGAAGACCAATGTGTACGTTAATTATTTGAATCCAGATTTTTAATCAATAGTCTACAATAAGAAAATACCTCTTCTGTGACGCAAAATTGATGATAATTCGCCGTAACGCGTTCTAGTTTCAAAATCTCCACGATGTCCAATGGAGCATGTTTGAACAAATTGCTTTTGTTAAAGTCTGAAAAAGAAATCTATATATTTAATATCCTTCGAGGAAAGACCAGACATACAAAAAGATAAAAAACAATGGCACATGTTAAGAAAAATTCATTTAGGTGATTTTTAGTTGTAGAAATCATAGGATTTGTACGATAAGTTTTGAACGATACGTACTATGTCAACAGCATTAATTAGTATTCGAATGATTAACAGATAAAAAAGTTACGGTAGAACTTAACAAATTTTTAATAAACACGAGAACTTCTACAACTGAGTGTCACAGGTGTGAACATTGCTTTTTTTAAGATATAATATATATATATATTTTTTTTTTTAAGAAATAAGTTTACTAGGCTTGAATTCCAACGGAAGTGGCTGATTGAGACTGGAACAATTAGTCCTATGCTCAATACCATTCGCCGCAACGTACGTCAGCAGCTCGAAGCCGAGGCAAATGCCGAGTATCGGGAAATATTCGCCTTCGTCGTTGATTTTCTTCGCGATCCTATTAACGAGCAGATAAAAAATCATCCGCATCATCTGATGCAAATCTTACGGATTATTCTTAATTCAGTCTAACGACCTGTAAATTGCGGCGCCTGCATCGGCGTATCCATCACGCTGATTAAAATATGTTGCACCTCCCGGCCACAGGACTCTAAAAAAAGTTATTTTCCGTGTACAAAGTCGCATGAATAAAAGCTTAAAGATGGACAACTCCTTCATCTAGACAATTTTATACAAAAGAAAAGAAACAGTGTACTAAAACTATCTGTACGAGAGAATAATCTATTCGTTCTCAGTACCCCGAATAAAACGCTACGTCTCGTGACGCTTTTGTGTAAAAAGGAAGAAGTTCTAAGAAGAAAGAAACAAGATAAAACTCTTCGATTATTGGTTCATTTATTGTACATATTCGCGCTACGTACCCATTCACTTTGCTTAAGATATCTTCATAGTACGAATTGTTCTCACCGATCCTGCAAAGTTAGATGGTGAATACATTGAGAGTTTTGAGAAAAAGTAAAGAGAGGGGAAGAGGCGGATAGAAAGAAGGGAAAGCACCAAAGTTCGCCAAATAAATGAAAGAAGCAATGAAGTAACAAACGGTAAATAGTTTCACGGTGATTACCAGATCGGAACGGGTCGAGCACCAGCACCCTCGACGAACTTCACATACGACGCGGCGATGTAGCTGTGATATTGTCCGGGGTATTTCCGATCCAAGTTGTAATCTATCTCTTGCGTTAGAACACCTCGCAAGCAAACACGTTCTATTATTATTTCGTGCGTGTACAAACACAATATCTCCGTTATCCCAAATTATCCATACAGTAGATCTCAGCAAAAGCGATTATCAGCGCCAGATATCGCGCGAGTACTCTCAATAAGCATCATTTCGGAGTAATTTTTCACGCGACCGGTTTATCACGCACATCTCTGTTTATTATACAATCCATAATCATACGACTCGGTTCCCGATACGCGTAATGTAAACAATAAATTTAAATCGAATTCGAAGACGCTCTCTCATCGAATTTCGAACTCACTCGCTTGCTCGATTCTTGCGAGGATGAATCACAGGATCTTGTTTCTCTCAAACGAAAATCCACTTGATTATTCGTATGATTCTGCGCTAGCGGGAACTCACCTATTATCGGCCGGTCGTTCGACACCTCTTCGAACCTCATGTCTGTAAGCAAACATTGTGTCGGTAGGATCAGTTGATGGCACAATAATATTGTCAACAGTAACATCAGCATCAACGTCGTCACGGTGAACGCCATTATGACGGGCGTGGAAGCACTTCTCAATGCGAGTTTCGTTAGACGAATGACGCATCACCATCGCCGCCCGTCATTAAAATCTTTATCGCTTTAGTTATGTTCTTATCGCGTTTAAACTGCGATGTCTCGGCAAGAACAATATCGCGATACACGAAATCGTTATAAGTCGCAAGTGTTCCATTTGCACTATCTGCACCTTGCGATTTTTCTTTTCTTTCTCTTTACGTCCGATCCGCCGAGATGCACGAGGTAACTGTCCTAAAGCGTTCGCGAGCTCAGGAGCTTTCTCTTTCTGCGCAATTGCAAGATCCTGACTAGTCCACTCGGCGATTTGATATTGTTATTAGTCAAATATCACCTGCTTCGTTTTATTGAAATAGAAGTTACTGTTAATTATTCAATTATTGTTGAACGGAGTCTCGAACGATGACGTTAGTCAACGCATGAGCGTGAGTCTCTTTCGTCCTGCGCCTGGGAGAAGAACAATTATATCATATATAATCACAATAAAATGTAAAAAAGTAGCAACAAAATCAAGACCGATCTCGTTCGTGCGATGGTTTCGATTTTACCGCGTGTATCTCAGCATTGCCAATTAAAGACGAAAAAATTCGTTGGCGCCATCAAAACCAATTGTTCGCGAGAGAGAAAGAGAGGTGGAGGCAGAGAGAAACAGAGAGAGAGAGAGAGAGAGTAGATGCACAACGGAGTTCTGTTTATTCCTCAGTGAAGCGATTTTTACTAAATAATCGCTGAGAGGCCGTCGAGTTATCGACGATTACTGTAGCTGGCATATTTCCGATAATACGTTAATTCGTGAAAAAAAGATGGTGAGTAATCGTGATACCGTGGTACTTGCTGTTTCAATTGCGCCGTACGCCGCTTTATTTTGAGGTTAACCTCCCCACGTGTTTCATCGTGAACATATGCTTTTCCTTTCTTCTGCGGCAACAAAGTTACAATAGCACTTATCTATCGTTTCCCTGGCTAAGTTAACTCAGATTCACTGATATCATTATTTTTTTAATTAAGACGGACGAGGTCAATCCCAAAGCTTATCCGTTGGCGGACGCCACGCTCACCGGCAAGATATTAAACCTCGTTCAGCAGGCGATGAATTATAAGCAGCTTCGAAAAGGAGCAAACGAGGCGACCAAGACTCTGAATCGCGGCTTGTCCGAATTTATTGTGATGGCTGCGGACGCTGAACCATTGGAGATTCTGCTGCATCTACCTCTGCTCTGCGAGGATAAGAATGTGCCCTACGTGTTCGTGCGAAGTAAACAAGCCCTCGGACGAGCCTGTGGAGTCTCCAGGCCAGTAGTGGCCTGTTCCATCACAGTCAACGAAGGCTCGCAATTAAAACCGCAGATCAACGGCATACAACAGGAGATAGAGCGGCTTTTAGTTTAAATAGCATCTGTGTACCTGATTTACATACCTCATGTTTCATGAGAGTATCAATCTTCGTTGTTGCTTTGAGCAGAATAACTCGTGAAGATATTGAATCTTGTGTGAATGAAGATCTTGTTCTCAGAAAAGATCATACATCCTTTTGTATATCATAGAGTTAAGATAATAAAAAAAGAAACGCAACACCAGGTGCGTGCCTTGTGTTTGTGTGTTTAGAAATAATTTATATAGAGGATGTATCATGAGACTTGGTATTTGTGTTGAAAATATAGTAAATTAGAAATATAAGAAAAAAATTAGAGTTTTTGAAGAGCAATAGAGTCATAAGCTTCAGGACCAGTATAATTGATTTTCAAAATCCTGTTGAAAATTAATACATAATATTGATGGCTGAGTCATGTATTTCGCTCGAATTTTTTTATGCCGTACAATCGATTTATATATTCGTATTTTCTTCCTTGCACAGCCTAAAAAGTAAGATCCGCCTGAACGAACTCGGTTGAGTTTTGGCCGGCTGGTGTGCTTCTACTTTTAATCAGACAAATATATCACGCAGAATGGAGTATGCTGTTCATCGAATTGATAGACGCGATAAACGCGGATAAATGAGCAAAATCTAACGGAGTTCATGATCGCAACGCATTCGCTGACACCGTAGAATTTTTCACATTTATAAATTCGATGTCGAATATGTATTTGTGATGTCATTGACTTACTTTTTAATTGTATACTATGTAATTGAAATTATATAGTGTTGTAACCACACGCATACAAGCACGTGAGTATGGCCAAGTATATATTTGATATAAATTAACGAAATAAATAATATTCATTATCACAGATGCGGTTTTAGGATAATATCAGTGTAGGAAGATAATGAAGCGTTGGTTAAACGAAAGAAAATATATTAGCAAAATAAAATGAAATACAGAGGAGATCACTGCCGGAAACAAGAGAACAGTTTGTTATATACAACTAACCAATTAGTGTGCCATTGGAATTGATGCAACGCACCTAAGTTGTGTCGAAACTTCTTTTCCAGTTGTTGCTGCATCTCGTTATTAGGGAAATCTTGGAACCATGTCTTCAATTGTTGCGCCAATTCGTTCTCGTTCGCGAACACCAATCCGTTTTCCTCGTGTTGCACCAGTTCTGACAAACTATAAACATAAAGAGACACGCGTTTAATGACACAATTTGCTATAACGATAACATCGTAAACTTCATTCTGTGTGTGCAAATTATTGTATCCATTCAATGTACCAGTCGTAATTATACGCGCAGACCGGCAAGCAGCAACCGAACATGTCGAGCACTTTCATCGGCAGATCCAATCCGCTGGATGAGATGTGAAGGCATACACCTAAATCCGCGCTGGCTGTATGCAGATTGGCAGATATTTAAACTTATAATATATATAAATGAAATCGCGGTAGCGTGTAAACATATAATATGATACCTAGTATCTTTGGATAATCCTCATTCTCGAGCCACGGTGTCACCACTTTAACGTGTTTCCAATTCTTCAGATTAATTATGGCAATGTAGAAATCTTTTAATGGGCCTTTACCTGTTATCACACAAATCAAGTCTGGCAAATTTAATTCGTTATTTTCACATGCATTTTCATACTCTGTAAAAACAATACAGATTTTTTAATGTTATCTTGTATCTGTTGTATTTGTAATTATTCAATTGCAGCAGATAAATGCACCTTGTAATGCATTCAACAGTATGGAGAAATCTTCATCCTCTGTCCAACTAGTGCTGGACACGATAAATCCAGGTCTCTTTGGTGATAAATGCACACCATTTGATGAGCATTCAGTAAAAATACTTGAGTCCTTTCTAGAACCTTTAAATACATCATATTCTTCAGCTAACTTCAGCAGAAATTCGTGCTTTTCTGCCAGAGATATTGGGTGGAATTGATCCCCTGGTCTATCATGCAGGATATTTGCCCTATAATGGATACAAGATTTCATCATGAAAGAAAAGATGTATCAATTGATATCTCTATTATACAATTTCTAATATTCAGTTCAAGCAATTTTCAAATAAATATAAAATTTCTCATATATTCTAGGAAAAATATGTGAATAATACTAACTTAATGCTCCATTTTTCTTTCAAATCTTTCTGCATTGCTTTACTGACACACATGTTTAGTCCTACTCTACAACCAATTGTCATTTCAATCAGTTTTGCCAATTTGACCAAAGCATGATTCTTCCCTAAGCTTAGTGCCATAATTGAATGTGCATAATTGTGCCAATCAATTATAGATTGTACTTCCATCAGGACACAATAAAACCAGATTACTGGTATTGTTGGTATCGCAGGTGGATTCTGCATTATCAATGAATGAGGTATTGGTCTGCGAATTAATAACCAAAGAAGATTCACAGTTTGCCATAATACTTTGATTATGTAACTTAAAAGACGTGGTAATCCTACAAACGTGACGTTATTAATATCAATGTACATATCAATATAATAGACACAAAAGTGCATCAAGTGTTCGATTCATACTGTTTTGCAATTCAGGTGGAGACTGCAAATAATGAACCGATATATTAGCATTCTCGCTGATTTCCTGCATCGGCGTCGAACCGGGATAACCTATAATATCTACCACATAGTCTTGCTTGGCGAAAGAAATCGCATGGTACTGCATTCTGGGACTTCTGCCGACATCGCCGAGTACTACTACGCAAATATTCTTGCTGCATTTGAATCGTTGCAGATATAATTTACGTGCGATTAACAAAAATGACAAAAGTATCAACGTCAGACAGAACGCAACCATCAACATCTCTGTCAAAAGATGAAAATGAATAAACCATCGACGAATGACATCTGTAACGTCACCAAAAAATTTTTCCTCCCTAAATATAATTCCCCAAGACCAATACCCATATCAGAAAGAAGAAGGAGAGAGGTCACGGGCCACTTTTAGCCGAGCCCAGTGTGAGGCGCCCTCTGCATAACCGTGCATATCAACGACCGCGTTCAGTAGAACAAAGTGATCAGAGAGCGCTTAGTGATTATTGACTGTGATTGGAGCATTCTTTTAGATTCTTCATAGACCCAGAAGTATTTACCAATCAGGAGCGAGATTCAGTGGCAAATCTAGTAATGTTGTCTAACTGTTGAGTCTACTGAATGCAGCCGTTGGTTGCGTTCAGAAAACAAAGCGTTCACTGAGCGCTTTGTTTTCTGAACGCAACCATTGGGTGCATTCAGTACTACAACCGCTCACTGAGCGCTCAATGAGTTTTTACATTTGATTGGTATATTCCTTTAAGGCTCGTCTACATTAGCTGTAAGAGTAAAGCTAAGACTCCATGCATGCGGTGAACTGCGGCAAACGGTTGCGGTGACCAATCAGGAGGGAGGCGCAAGTCCGGTTGCGGCAAGCTCCGGCATGCGTCTGTCTCCTGATTGGTCACCGCAGCCGTTTGCCGGAGCTCACCGCATGCATGGAGTTTTAGCTTAAGGCTGTAAGGTTGCAAGGCACGAAATGAAATATTTTCATTCGCTGACAGCTTACGTTGCAGCCTTACAGCCTTACTCTTACAGCTATTGTAGACGAGCCTTTAGATTTAAAAATATACACCAATCAGATGCAAGAGCTCACTTAGAGCTCAGTGAGCGGTTGTAATACTGAATGCACCCATTAATTGTTGACATACTTATGTCATACCACGTATATTTCATTTCTCGCCTTTCGTTGTGAGTAAAGTCAACGGCACACGATGTTTATCTTCATGCTGGATTGCTTGCTGGATGAAAATACTGCGTCCTGATTGGTGCATTTCCGAAGATGGATGGAAATGCACCAATCAGAACGCAATATTTTCATTCAGCAAGCAATCCAGCACAAAAACAAGTATCGTGTGCCGCTGGCTTTACTGCGTAGGCGTGTTCCGCAGGCGGAGCAGCAGCTCTCTCATCTTTCTCGAGTCGGAATGCGTTCCGAAAGTCATTAAAAAAAAAGTGACAACCTTTATGTCCGCGACCGTGGGTGAAAGTGAGACAAACGTAGGTTTTCTCACTTTAACTTGTTGCACCAGTTCAACAGTGCAGACAAAACGAACAGGCCTAATGATTCAATTCGTTTCAAATATGCCTTGTATTCAATCGCAATCGATAATTTTTAAATGCGAACTTTCGTATTGAAAAATATTCACTTCTTCTCCTAATCGTTTTCGGAGGCATACAAGATTTTCACGTTCTATTCCCCGTCGCATTAAAAAGTATACACCCGCGATCCAATCTGAGAGCAGAATTCACGACAAAATCTCGTGAATGCGAAACAATACTTTTAAATACGACATTTTATACAGGACTAATATTTAATAAGAGCGCGACTAAATTCGCATAGGATGAAATTCCATTCTTTAACGCTACCATGACCTTTAATTATTCTCTGAAAACGGCGTCACAACTTACACTCTATACAATTAGTTGCTAACACATTTTCTAATCGTATACATTCCTCTTTAATTAACATAAAGCTAACAAATGTCCGATGCTTCGACAGAGTAATTTTTTTTATTTTCAGTAATCAATAAATAGAGTGCATCAATGTCGCGTACAGTTGAAAGGCCTCCTCGCATTCCCCTCGTCGTTCCGAAACCTTCGAGAAAACAAGAGACGCTCAAAGGCAAGTCTCTCTTGCTTCAACCGCCGCCGAGACCCGCAATGTTTACATCGCGCCGATTGCGTTGATCGGCTCGCGAGCGACGACACTTTTTGCCCTTCGTATTATAATACTCGCGCACCTCATGTATTCGACCTCATTCCATCAGCAGCAGCCGTGCGCGACGTTCTCGTCACTTCCGTCTCGTGTAATTAAAAGAAATATATCTCGTCGGTCCTCGAGATACTCAATCGGCATCGCGTCGGCATCTCATTCATTAACTGCACGGTTGAATCGCGAGTATCAGCATTAGAAGCGTGAGCGAGTGAAATCCGGAGGACTTCAGCAGTCGAGAAGCAGAACGCCGGCAGCGATACGTCACGTTTCCAGGTATGTGGAATCATTTATTACGCGAGAGGTCTCCGATAACGAGAGCGTACGTTTGACGAATTTTCCGGGAATAAGAAGTCGGAATTTCGTGCTCGGCATTCACAATCCGTCATCATCCGACTAGTAATCATCACTTTATGAATTTGCAATTACTCTCGTCAATCTCTGTCTGTCTATCTATTTATTGCGTTGTTGTATACAAAAGATATTGATCCAGACAGAGACAGATAACGGTCCATGGACGTGGATCTCGAATTCATCATGTTCTCAATCAAACATTCTGAATCATCCCCAATTCCTGTGTGAGAATATTGGTCTTGTGTAGAATATTCAACGTCATATCGCTTCTTAGACTGCGACCTTTTTTGTTTTCAGTCAGCGCTTCTTTCAAGTTTGTTTACTCTTGTTACGGGATCTGAATTTAAATGTCCATCCGTAAAAGAATATTTTCGAGAGCACACAACTGTTGGTGTCTCCGCTTCTTATTGTCATTTTCTTTCGTCAGCTCTTTCAAGAGTTCCTATCTAGACATTCAATGTCAATAAAGAAAAAAAATCGTAGCGAATATTCTCCACTCATCCCGACCAACCATTTTTTCTCTACCGCAGCTTACCAACCAAGAACGCTAAATTTTTGTTCCAGACGTTGCGGGAAGCAAGTCAGGCGGACGCGGATGCCGCACCGGAGGATTCGGTTCGGGCAGAGCAGGGTCGGCCGGAAGGTAAAGTTTACAAATTTCCTACACATCTGTGTTCAACTCTTTACGATCTTTGCCTTTGTAACTTGTTCCTCATCAGCTCTCTTGAAAGCTTCAAGTCCCATTTAAATTTTCAATGTTGGAAAATGAAAAATATAAAGATAAAAATTCCTTATCAAAATATATCCGTATTTTCGATTGGTCTCGATCAAAGATATTCTCTCTCTACCGCAGGTTATCAACCGGGAAAATTATTTTTCTGTTTCAGTTGTTGCAGAAAGCAACAATCCGGTGGACGCGGATGCCGCACCGGAGGATCCGGTTCGGGCGAAGCAGAGTCGGCTTGAAGGTAAGTTTACAAGTTTACTATAGTCCTCTGTTTGACTCTTAGCGATCTAGAGCTGGGATATAATTTCCGGCTCGACTTGAATTACGATCGCAGAGGGTAAACTACTTTTACTCGCCCGCACTCGTTGGTCAAACCTGATGAGCAAATGTGAATTTTTTGTTACAGAGTTGAAGCGGAACGTGGCCGGCTCTGACTGCAAGTCGTTTCGGTGAGTCAAAATGAAAAGAGAAACAAAATTCTGCATGACGGATGTGGGACTGAAAAATATCGTTCGAGTCAATGCGAATTGCAAATAGATACTTGCATGTGTGTTTGTGATGTTGAATAAAATACATTGCTCGAAACAATCAGGGGATTACTTGATCGATGATAGCCTGCATTACATACAAGATTTAAAATACTGAATGATTCTCTTTTGATGTTCAGTCATCTGAATAAGAGAATATTCATATGTACAAACGCGACACCGACATCAGCTGCTTTATTTTTATTTTTCAAGCGGGCCGCAGAATTACTTAACGATTTAATTATTTGACAATATTCAATTGTCCGTATAAAATATATTCATACCTAAATGCCGATATCGTTAGCTTTTCTTTTCTTTTATTTGCAAAACAGGCTGTAGAATTATTTAGCAATATTGTTCATTCATCACAATCCCTATTGTCTCGAGTAGCGTATAATGCGCGTAGAAATTGCGCCAGCGCACGCCGAATTTGAGGAATCCTCGCTCGCGTGCCTTTGAATATTGCGACCGCGGTTGTCAATATACGCGTTTTTACTCGCGTTGCTAACAAAGAAAACTTAAATTCTCATTTCGCCAAAGTATCGCGAACGTAAGCATCGTCGTGACAGAGCTATAATGCGTGAAAACTTTGCCCCGCTCCTCTCTCTTTGCGCTCCATAAGGGGGACCGGTTTCTGATTGTCTAATCTTTCCTCGCGTGCATTCGCATCGCGAATATTTCACTCGTAGATATCGATAATCCCACATTTTCGCGACTTTTCAGACGCAATCATGAAAAGCACCGTAAAAATCCGTTGGACGAGTCAATAAATTTTCACACGGTTCTTACTCCTCGCCGATCGAGTTTATAGAGTCCGTTTCGCAGCGCGCAAAAAGTTTCCATCGATGGCGAGTAAAACGTTCGTTAATTGATGTAAATATCGCCGTTCTAATACCGCGTATCGACCGCGTCGCGGAAGTGTGATGAAAGTGTAGCGATCACCGTAGGACGAGCTGCAAGATGGATGTTGCGCGACATGGAGAGCGGCAGCGGACATGGGCGGACATTGATGGATCTGGTTGGATGCAACAGGACATCATCAATATCATCATTGGTGAGTGTCTGACTCAAAGCTCGCAGAAAGAACTTTTATTATTACTTTATTATTACTTTTATTATTACATTGTGCATGCCGCAAATTTGCATTGACTCTTGTAACGAAAAATATATTCCATGAATTATTGTCCTATATTATTGCCATATATTGTTGCCACATATTGATGCCATATATTGTTGCCATATATTGTTGCTATATATTGTTGCCGTATATTATTACCATATATTATTCCCATATATTGCCATGTATTCTCGCCATATATTATGGCCACTTGAAATCGCGCGAGCAATCAAGAAAACTGAATTTATCGGTAATCGCAAAGGCGCGGCAGACGTCACAAATGGATGTTAGCAGCCGGTCTCAGGGTTGACCGATAACAATACTGTTGCTGCAATTTAACTTTAAACAACAGCGGCCTCAGATCGCAAGAAACTTTTTATCACGGACTAATCTTTCGAACGGAATGTTCCCGAGAAGC